GCTGGGGCCTGGAGACTTATCCATTGAGAAGCTTTCCTAAGTGTTACCAGTAGATTCCTTCCTAAGAATCATTGGCATCGCTGACAACCACATATATTTGCATAGGACTTTTTATCATTGCAGATTTTTTTTACAGAGAATACAAAGCCAAAACCATTGCCGTCAAGTCGGTTCCCACTCCTAACAACCCCATAGGACAGAGAAGAACTGTCCCATAGGGTTTCCAAGGCTATAACCTTTGCAGGAGCACACTGTCACATCTTTCTCCCTCAGAACGGCTGGTGGATTTGAACTGCCAACCTTGTGATTATCCTCTGAGCACTTTAACCTCTCTACCACCCAGCCTCCTTTTGAGTTAGATGGGAGGACTGTATGTCAGCTGTTGTTGTTTGTAAGTGCCATTGACTCGATTCCACTCATGGTGACCATGCAGAGGGTTTCCAAGGAGCAGCTGGTGCGCTGGTCCCACCCACCCTGCACTTGAGTGCATTAGCGCCGTAGCAGCTAATTGAACAACACGTGTTTGACTCTTGCCATTCTGTCCTCAGAAGAAAGATGAGGCTGCCTGTTACTGTCAAGAATGACAATCTGGGAAAGCGTACGGAGCAGGTCTCCTCTGCCCGAGAGTCCCTATGAGTCAGAATCGACTCACTGGCAATGCCTTTAACTCCTCCTGCAGAACTTAAACGTGCTCCGGGGTTAGTCATTTCTGTCTCAGTATTGCTGAGCGTCTTAATGAAAAATATCAACTCTCAACTCCCTGGCAGCTTAAAATAACAGTAGATTCATAGTCTCCTTTACCCACGCTGTTCAAGGCTAACGTCATGAAGAAGAGCACATCAAAGACTTGTTTAAGTCAAGGTTTCAGAGGTGTTCGGGGAAGGGGAAGCATTAGAAGAAGCAAAAAGTAGAGCTGTTATATTTTCCTTTATTGTGACAGTCTCTTCACAATATGTAGAAGGAGTTTTAAATGTTTTGTTTTTAATGAATTTTCTAGTGTGCCTGGCACTATTTTGAATGAAATCCAATAAGAAAATTGTTGGGAGATCTACTCCTTTTGAAGTTCAGGTTTATCCAAGTGGATTTTGAAAGAACCAGATTTGTAATGAGAATGGCTGGGTTCCAGGTCTGGCTGAGGGGCTTACTAGCTAAGTGACCTTGAATCAGCCATCCCTTCTCTAACCCTGCTCTGCCTCCTCCATGGGATGGTCTGAGGGTCAAATGAGATAGTGTGACTTCCACTCGGAGATAGTATTCCTCTTTCATCACTTTACCTTCCCCTTCCCCTGAAGACCCCTGAAACCTTGGCTTAGGCAAGTCTTTGATGTGTTCTTCTTTAATAAAGTTAACCTTGAACAAACAGCATTGGTAAAGGAGACTATGAATCTACTGTTATTTGTAGCTGCCAGGGAGTTGAGAGTTGATATTTTTCATTAAGACGTTCATCAGTACTGAAGACAGAAATGACTAACTCTGGAGCACTTTTAAGTTCTGCAGAAGGAGTTAAAGCCCACTACCACTGAGTCAAGTCTGACTCATCAGGGCTCTGTAGGACAAAGGAGCCCTGCTCCGTACAGTTCCCGAGACCATAGATCTTTATAGGAGCAGACAGCCTCATCTCTCTCCTGTGGAGTGGCTGGTAGGTTTGAACCGTCAACTTTGCACTTAGCAGTACAACATGTAGCCCACCACATCACCAGGGCTCCTTTTAGCTTCTGTAGAAAGCATTAAGCACATGTTTTTCAAGTGACCAAATTTCTGTTAGCCGCTGGTACATAGCCCTCTTGTATAACCCATAAGATAATATGATCGTACTGAATAAAGCAGTAAGACAAAATAACTTTACCACACCAACCAGGAGAGGACATGCCAGAAATTTTCTAGTTGCCTAAGTTAAGAAAGCGCTGAATATCCATACACATAGTAGAGAACCGATACATTGAACTGTAATAGCTGTACAAGGTAGTGAAGGCTAGAACTATTTTGATCTCTGGACACTATAAAAGTCACAGTAGGTCCATCCTTAACCAACCAGTCAACTCCAACTCTTATGTGCCATAGGGTTTTTCCCAGTGGCTGAGTTTTTCAAAGTAACTCTCTAAACCTATCTTCTGAGATGTCTTTGGGTGGACTTGAACCTCCACCCTTTCAGTTAGCCGCTGAGCATATCCACCATTTGCAGCCCCCAGGACACCTTATGTAGAGCACCTGGTAAACAGTCAACACTCAGTGGGTCTTCTTCCTTCCTCTTTGAGATCTTCTCTAGAAATTATACTTCCCTTCTGGAAGTGGCAGTTTTCGCCTCTTATAAAGTTAGAATGCAGAAACAGCAGAATATCGGCTTTAAGAACTATAAAGGAGAGACCATTTGAAAAAAGGAACTGACTTAGAAGCAAACTGTCATATCTACTCTACAGCTTTACTGGTAGGACTGGAAATTATTTACACCTCAGAGTCAATCTGCTTTAAGCCAAAGAGTGAACAAAACTGGAGTCTCTTGCATTATTTTGTTCTTTGATGATGTGATTTAGGTAAGAATTCTCTTTTGCTGGTTTGTAATCTCTGTGAGCACGTTAGTGCTGTTAATGAGTCCTGATGTGGCGCTGTAGGTTAATGCACTGGACTGCAAAGTCAGTTTGAAGTGCAGTGTCAGTGGTTCAAGCTCATCAGCCACTCCTCAGAAACCCTATACAGGGTCGCAACCAACTCGACAGCACTTAGCAACAACAATGAATATTATAACATATTCCACTTATTTCCATCAGCGATGTCCTAATGGGTCGATGCACGTATACCTGGAGCTGCACTGGTACTCCCCAGGAGCAAGGGAAGACAATTTTAGAACTTTCATTTATTCATACAAAAAGAGACGAAAAACATTGCATTTTATTAATACTTAATATTGGCAGTGGGATCCCTGGTGGCTCTGTGGTTAAGCACTTGGCTGCTAACCAAAAGGTTGGTGGTTCGAACCCACTCGCTGCTTATGGCAGTCTGCTTCTGTAAAGATTTGCAGCCTTGGTAAACCTATGAGAAAGTTCTACTTTATAAGTTTGGGGAGGACAGGTTGGCATATTATTTTGGCAAGTCCATCTGCCACATACTCAGATTTTCTGAGAAAGGAGTAGGAGGTCTTCCTCAGTTTAGCAGGGTTGGTATGGGGCCCTCACTTAGCATTTGAAAGTTCACTTAAAGTTGAATGTGATTGGTGTGTACCTGGTTATACAAAACTATTTATAAGCTAATCTATGATACAGGGAGGGAGTCCTGGTGTGGTGCTGTAGGATAAGCACCGAACTACTAACTACAAGGTTGGCTGTTCAAACTCACCAGGCTCTCCTTGAAACCCTATACAGGATAATTAAGAGTCAGAACCAATTTGATGACATATAACACCTATGATTTCTATAATTATAAAATCAACTTTTTCATTGATTTTTTTCCCCCTTAGATTAGCTTTTTTGTTTTCTCTCTTTAAATAATTTGGTCAAAGAAGCAGAAATATTAGGTTGAACCATATGCCATTGCTAATATTTGACCATGTATTATCTATAAATATGGCAATTTATATGGCTGCCCACATTGTGTCTCAGAAGAATTCAATTTTATGTTTAAAATTGATAAAGATAGTCATGTAAAAGGAAACTATTTTTATATCTTTCTTGTATATTTTAAAATATTATTTTAATATAGGTGTTACATATGTTTTCTATTATGTTGTCTTTCTTCAATGATTTATTCACTATAATGACAGGTATCAACCTGATTAGTGCAACACATATGCTCTGTAAACAAAAGTTTATCTTAAAGTTCCCAACCCCACCCCTGCCTTCGAGTCAATCCCAGCTCCTAGAGACCCTATAGGACAAAGTAGAGTTACTAAAGGAGTTTAGAATCTGACTTGAGAAAAACAAGACTCAGAGGCGTATATTGAAAAGCCAACATTTTGTACACAAAAGAAGCAGTTTGCAAAAGAGCTGGGACTAACAAACTGCTTGAGATAAAGAAATGATTTCCCTGGAATGCAGAGCAAGGCTACCTACCAGCGTCGGCTGCCTTGGTTTTCAAGCTTTGCGGCAAAGTCTCAGACACAAGCTTGTTAATGGTCCATGGATCCTACTAGGCCTCTTCGGCTTTCCTGATCAAATGCATCTTGGTACCTATTCCCACTAGAATGGCTAAGAGAAAAGATAGATGTAGTACTCTTGAACAATTCATATTTAAGAGAGTTGTCTTGAAAGGAAAGTTCTAAAAATGTTTGCAAAGAGTTGTTTTAAATTTATTTTTCCTGTAAAGTAGAAAACATGTAGAAGAGATGACCCACTTTTAGAAAACACAGGAAACCATTTCTGTATTTGCATATCTGAATGTAATGACCTAAGTGTTGTTCTCTTGAATAAAAGGGAGTCTGTAGTATTACTGATTTATTAACATTATGGTTTTTAAATTTTTCTAAAGCAGGATGGAAATCTATTAGTTTTAGTGATAAATATTAGGGCAGTGTTATTTCCAGAATGTTCCTTTGTTCATCTTGATGCATATGTACAGGTTATGCTATAACGTGAAGCACAAGTAATTACAGCTTACTGTTGATCATCCCTGGAGATCAGGGACACGGGTGATATGGGTACATTAAATTCATGGATAATCCCCCAAACATTTTAGCCATTAGCTTCAAATTCCTTTTCCAAGAGCTACTAGTAGCTAAGCTTCAAAACTGAGAGATTTTAGGCTTGAACGTTCTCTTCTCTCACTGATGGGTGCTGTTTTCTCAGTGAACTAAAGATGAAAGGTGCACACAGAAGAGCAGACACGAGGTGGCTGCCTAATTCACAGAATGGAAATCCACCCAAATAGCCAGGGCTCCACGATTCCCTCGTTGAGAAGGGGAGCGCATTGAAAGCCAGTCACCCTAGAGATGGAATTATGGTGGTTTGACTGCCAGGTGAGAAAGGCATTTCTTGTGTCTGGTTGTTTAAAAAGGACACTTTACATTCCAGGTGATCACCTTCTTTAGCTCAAGGTTGCTACAAGCTGGAACTGAGCTGTCGGTGGAACGAGTCCTGGAAATCATCAAGCAAGGGATTGTTGCACTGCCCAAAGACAGGCTAAAGGTAAGACTGAATAGAAACGGTCAGTTGACACACGTTGTTAAATTGTATCTGAGCAGAGTCACATCAGTTACCCAGTATTCATGCTGGTAAAGTATCGCCTGTTGTGCTGTGCGGTAATACGCAGAACTCTGATGGAGGTTTGTGACAAAAGGAAACAGGCCAAGAAGAACTAATAGCTCCCAGCCTCTGCATGTCCAATGAGTAATCATTACATAGACTTTGAGCAACTCGTATATGACAAATAAAGAGGCACTTTTTTCTTCTCACCCAATGAAACAAATTCGATTTTGTAAGCCCTGGTGGTGCAGTGGTTAAGCTACTGAAAGGTCAGCGGTTGAAACCCACCAAATGCTCTGTGGGAGGACGATGGGGCCATCTACTTCCGTAAAGATTCACATCCTTAGGAATGCTATGGTGCAGTACTGCTCTGTACTATAAGGTTGTTAGAGTCAGAATTGATTCAACAGCAATGCATTTAGTTGGATTTTAAGAATCATCAGGCATTGATGGGAAGCTGACGATGGCAGTCATGTTAAATGCACCAGTAACACCATGACAGTGGTTAATGACTATGTAGTTTTTGTGCAGGATTCTAATTGCCTTAGATTCAAATCAACCCTCACAACAACAGCTCTGAGGTAGGTATTATTATCATCCTCATTTTTCAGATGTGGAAACCAATGCACAGAGCAGGTAAGTAACTAACTCATAGCCACACAGCTAGATTATAATGGAGCTGAAGGATGGAAACCCAGGCCCCCAAATCCCGTGCCCATAATGAACACACTGTTTACTGACGTAGTAATGGAAAGAAGTGTCACTGGAAAGGCAGGGAAACAAGCACTGTATGTGGACAAGGAGTTTACGTTTGTGTGATAGATACAGTCCTGAAGTGATCTAAGGATGTAAAACACATGCTTCAAGAGTAATTTTCCCACCAGAAAATACAGTGTCAAGTAAAGGGAATGGTTGGAGTCCATGCGTGAATGCCCAGCACTGGGATGGTGTTTTGATTGAATGCTTCCTCTTACTCTTTCTCTTCATAGCTCTAATTGAATGTGAGCTCCCTCTCCCAACTTAACAACCCAGTGTGTCACCGTGGATGTTTTGGCCTTCTTCAAAGTGTTTTATCACAGTTTCTGTCCCAAAGTTACTGTTTGGGGGATGTTTTTCAGCACTATCACTAGAACCACTGCTTAATGAACACATTAGAGATATTGTTTGTACAGAATATAAAAATATTTTCGATTATAATAGCCTGGCTTGTGAAACAGACACCAATTAGTCATCACGGTCAGCTAGAGAAGAACCACTGTGCATAAACATAGCGGCATTCGCAGTCCCAACCTCAGGCGGCAGGTATCCCTGTTAGCAGCTAAAGCAGCACCACCCTATGGTAGGAGCATACCAACAGATGGCAGTGCATGGGACCCTCCACTTCTGACAGTCTGCTATCATGGCCTGGCAAGCTTTTAAATATGTAGGCAATTCATATTATTTACATTTTACACATCTTAAGACTCCTTTTTTCTTTTTTTGTACTATCTCAAATTTGCATAAGCTCTCATACTTACCACACACAACAGGTTAGAAGACCCTTGAACATCAGAGTGGTGGCTTTTAGAGAATGATGGCTCTCTCTTCCTCAGCCGAGTCCAGAAATCTGGAAGTGAGACTCTCAGGAACCTGTCAGAAAGGAGAAAGAAGGAGTCACAGGACAGGGCACTTTGATAAGCATGGAAGTTAAGGAGATTGTGGTTAGTGAGCAGCATGTTTAGACTTCAGATCTCCAAGGGGGGAGACCCTCTGAAGCTGGCCATGAGTGTAGGAACTAAAATCGCATGGAGGTGAATGAAACCGAAATGGCACAAAGGTGAATGAGAGGTCATGTGATTGAGCCCGTCAGTGAGCACAGGGAACCTAGGATGGGTCCGACGCCTAGACTTTGTTCATATTCACTTAGAATGAGGGTAGAGAAAGACTATGAGATAATATGACAGAAATTGTGACAGGAACCTAGAAATAGGTGGCCATGGTGGTTGTGTGCCGTGGAGTTGGTTCCAACTCATTGTATCCCAGTATAGGGTTTCCGAGGCTGTAAATCTTTACAGGAACAGAAAGCCTCATCTTTCTCCCGTAGAACCGCTGGTAGTTTCGAACTACTGACCTTCAGGTTAGCAGCCTGACTCAGTAGGTGGCAGCTAGGAAGGAAAGAGCCCAGTACAAGCTTCATGAGCAAAGCAGAGCTCTTTGTTTAGGGGGAGAGGAAATAATAGTCCAAGAACGGCAATAAGAACAAAGGGGTCGCCAGCCCCACCGCCAGACCCTGACGGCTGTGGAGTGGGAGAGAATGAACCAGGGACATTGGAGTCCTGAAGGGAGAGTCAGGTCTCAGTTCAAGCAGAGATACGGAGGGAGGATCCAGCAATGCAAAGGCTAAAAACATAGCGATGTGCACTAACCATGAAGTTGTCGCTCAGTACTATCCAGTCAGTTCCAACTCACAGCTACCTTATATAGGGTTTCCAAGGAGCATCTAGGAGCTCTGGTAGCATAGTGGTTACGAATCGGGCTGCGAACCTTAAGGTCAGCGGTTCGAAACTACCAGCCGCTCCGCGGGAGAAAGATGAGGCTTTCTACTCCCGTAAAGATTTACACCCTCGGAAACCCTGTACAGGGTCGCTATGGGTCGGAATGGACTCGACGGCACTTAACAACAACAACAAGGAGCATCTAGTGAGCTTCAACCACTGACCTTGTGGTTCAAACCAACTTTACAGTCCAGCACATCAACCCACAGTGCCACACCAGGACTCCACACAAATGTAAAGTAGGGCTTCCAGAAGGCACTGTAGGAGGGAGGGATATAACAGGAGAGTGGATCCGGGAGAGAAAGGACAAAGCCATGGAAGGGACAAAGTGCAGGAAAGAGTAGCTAGCTACCTGGAGGAGCTGATTCTTGAGGCAGTGACCTGTGATAATAGAGACGTATGACCACAAGGTTCCATCAGCACTCCAAAAACCTCCATCAAATCTCTGCTTTGTGGCAGGCGTTGTTTTAGGTACTTGGGATACATCAGTGAACACAGACTCCTGCCATCATAGTCTAGGAGGAGGAGACAGACAGTAAACAGAATGTATCATAAATAACAAACTTGTCCAGTGTCTTAGAACAAGATTAGTGCTATTGAAAATAAGCTAGGAGGTTCAAGAGGGCCACTGAGGCATGTGGAAGGACGCCGTAGAGTTCAAAAGAATGGTCTGGGCAACATTTAGCCAAGATCCAGGAAGCTGAGGGCGTTAAGCATGTTGATGTTGGAGGGGGAGTTCCAGGCACTCAGAACAGCCACTGAAAAGGTGCCGAGCCAGGAGTGGGCCAAGCACATTGGAGGAACCGGCAAGGAGGCCAACACGGCTGGAATTGGGTAAACATAAGGGGAGTAGAACATGGGCAAAGAAGATAGGTGGAGTGGGGGTGGGGAGTGGTTTCCATCCTCTAGTAGAGACCTATAGACCATTTTCTGGGTGATATAAATGAGACGTTTTGTTTATCAGGACTATGACTAAGTAAAAAAAAACATTAATTGATCTGTTAGAGATTGTAAGCCTTGGAACTCTTAGCTAGAGCAAGATCCTGTGGAGGACAAGGTCATGGGCAGATTGCTTAAGTAGGCCAGCTAATTTTGCACTAGAACACAACAAGAAATTGTGCACCTGACCCCAGCTGGAGAGCTGCAAGAGGGGCAGATGATGGTGCATGGATGATTCAGTTGTTGTTTTTTTAAAAAAGCCATCACCAGGACTAGAAAAGAAACAAAAATTACATTTACTCACAGATGGTGAGTCATCCTCAGTTGGTTTAAATGATAGCACATTATTACCACAGATGTTACTGGATAAAAACTGTTTATCCTTATAATCAAGCCTTATCTCAATTATTTTAATCATCTTTTTGGATTGAGTGTTTATAATAAAACGAATCACTTAAAACCGCTAGAGTTTTAATTCACAGAAAACTACGGTATCTAATGTTGATTGAAAACTCAAGCTGTGTATTGAATAATATTTGTGTTATCCCACATGACAGCACAGTGTCATCTTTTTTCTGGGTGGTTCACTGATATATACTGATAAAATAATTGTCAGGTATGTAATGATACCTTTGTACATGAGATTGATGTTGGAGAGGTTTCTTTGAGTTGGAAATGATGTTTTAGTCAGCTCTTTGCAAGTATGAAATCTCCACGCCCCACAGCCATTGAGCTGGTTCTGACGCCTAGCGACCCCATAGAACACAGTAGAACTGCTCCATGGGCTGTAAATCCTGACAGAAGCCGCCAACCTCATCTTTCTTTCATGGAGCCACTGGTGGGTTGGAACTGCTGAACTTTTCCATTAGCAATCCAACACTTAACATGCTGCATCCCCAGGACTCCTAGTTTGGAATGTTGTTGTTGTTCAGTGACATTGAGTCAGTTCCCACCTATAGCGACCCTGTATAGGGTTTCCAAGGAGCAGCTAGTAAGCTTGAACCACCGACCAACTTTGCAGTCCAGTGCATTAGCCCACAGTGCCACACCCAGATTCCAGTGTGGAATGTTGTTGTTGTTACGTGCCGTGGAGTCGGTTCCGACTCATAGTGACCCTGTACAGGATTTCTGAGGCTGTAAATCTTTACGGGAGCAGAAAGCCTCATCTTTCTCCTGTGGAACAGCTGGTAGTTTCGAACTGCTGACCGTGAGATTAGCAGCCGGATTTGTAACCACTATGCTACCAGAGCTCCTGTGACTAAGGTGTAGGAATTCATTTTAATCTAATTCGTGGATACTGCTTCACAGACAGAGTAGATCTCTGTGGCATACTGGGTACTTACTGATTTATTCTTTATTGAAATATAGATTAAACATTTTAAAATGCAGAGTATTTTGCAACCACTTTTTGGGTCTGTGGGAGGATTACAGTGTCCAGTACTCATGAGAAGTTGGCCAGCAGATGTCAAC